CGTGGGGGAGCAAATGCTTTAGATCAGAGAGAGTGAGAGACAGAAAGAGAGCTCTTCCATCAGCTGGTTCACTCCACAAATGGCCATGATGGCTGGAGCTGGGCCTGTCTAAAGCCAGGAGATTCCTCTGGGTCTCCCACATGGGTGCAGGGGCCCAAGGACTTGGGCCATCTTCTGCTGCTTTCCCAGGCACATCAGCACATTAGCAGGGAGCTGGATTGGAAATGGAGCAGCCAGAACTTGAACTGGTGCCCATATAGGATGCTGGTGCCACAAGCGGTGGCTTTACCCACTCTGCCACAGTGCCCTTCCCCCAAGAGTTTCTTAAACAAAAAAAAATTATTTACTTATTTGAAAGGCAGAGAGAAATACTCATTCCCGAAATGCTAGGGCTAGGACAGGCTGAAGTCAGGAACTCCATCTGGGTCTCCCATGTGGGTAGCAGGGACCCACCTACCTGAGGCATCACCTGAGCTTCCCAAGGTGAGAATCAGTAGGAATCTGGAACCAGGAGCAGAGCCAGGACTCCAGCCCAGGCAGTGTGATATGGGACATGGATGTCCCAGAGGCTTCTTCCCCACTGCACGAATAAACAAAAATGCACGAAAGTAGCAGGACAGAAGGAAGTTCCCAACTCTTAAGTGTGAGCTGGGGCAGTTACTTCCAACCCAACAATACCACATGGAAAGGCAGAAACAGGTGCAATTTTAGAGTGCAGACGACTGAGAAATATTACTTCAGTGAGCTGATCCAAGTCAATCTCAAATGTCATACTCCATGACGGTACGTATCCTTGGTATCCTGTGATAAACATGGCAATTCACCTCAGATTGTGGTCACCCAAACCTTACAGACCCAATCTGGTCCCGAGAAAAATATCAGACACATTCCTACAGAGGGTCATCCAACAAAATATTTCACCTCTCCAACTGTCACAAGACCACTGAAAACAAGGAGAACCTGAAGAACTGCCAAGCCAAGAGGAATCTAAAGAGACTTGTCAGCAAACTAATGTATCCTGGAGAGGACCCTGGGGCCCCCCATGAAAACTGGGTAAAAACTAAGGGAAACAGCACGAGGAGTGGATTTCATTAACACTGGTTCACTAATTGTCACACATGTCTCAAACTAATATCTGGGCATTCTCCATATTGTAACTTTTCTGAAAATGTTATAGAAAGTATTAAGAACAAAAAGAAAAAAAAGGATGTGTAACCCTGGGTGGTGTGCAAAGCTTGAAACATTTACCACCTGATCCATCAAAGGAAAAACTGCCTATTCTTGTTCAAGATCAAGAAGTAATATTGGCAGGTGCCGCGGCTCACTAGGCTCATCCTCTGCCTTGCAGCGCTGGCACACCAAGTTCTAGTCCCGGTCGGGGTGCCGGATTCTGTCCTGGTTGCCCCTCTTCCAGGCCAGCTCTCTGCTGTGGCCAGGGAGTGTAGTGGAGGATGGAGCAAGTACTTGGGCCCTGCATCCCATGGGCGACCAGGATAAGTACCTGGCTCCTGCCATTGGATCAGTGCAGTGCGCCGGCCGTGGCAGCCATTGGAGGGTGAAACAACGGCAAAGGAAGACCTTTCTCTCTGTCTTTCTCTCTCACTGTCCACTCTGCCTGTCAAAAAAAAAAAAGAAGTAATACTTGATATCAAACCCTATTGCTTCTCACAGTTCACATAAATTCACTGAGAAAATGTGAGGCAGTAACATTCAAGAAAATCTAGATAAAAGAACAAATTTCAGTATATTGATTATGGGGAGGAAAATCCTGGACTTTTAAAGTTCCCACTCTTAAAAAGCCCCATAAAACTGATACCTTTGACATTTAAAGAAAAGAAAAGAAAAGAAAACAAAATGAACTGGGGCTGGCACTGTGGCTCACTTGGTTAATCCTCTGCCTGAGGTGCCGGCATCCCATATGGACACCGGGTTCTAGTTCCAGTTGCTCCTCTTCTGGTCCAGCTCTCTGCTTTGGCCCAGGAAGGCAGTGGAGGATGGCCCAAGTGCATGGGAGACCCGGAGGAATATACCTGGCTCCTGGCTTCAGGTTAGCATAGCTCTGGCCGTGGTGGGCATTTGGGGGCTGAACCAACAGAAGGAAGACCTTTCTCTTTGTCTCTCTCTCTCATTGTCTAACTCTGTCAAAATTACAAAAACAAACAAACAAAAAACGAAAACCAAAACCCATCATTTTCATTCCTACAAGGCTGTGAAAATCAGGTCCATGGAAAAGATCAAACACACCTGGTGCTTAATTGCACCTAAAAATGAACCCTCTCCTTACCACGCCACAGTCCAGCATGTTCCTCCAGGAGGTATGTTTCTACACAGTAAGACTTTTAGAAAAGCAGAGTACACAGGAATGTTCTGAACATAGGTCAGGCAAACACTGGCTGGAGAGGGTTGCTATGGGGAGGCCACTGAGTGACGCTGCTGTGTCGTGGCACCACTCTGGGAAGTTTAGTGGGCTGAGTGGCAATCAGGAAGGATGTTGACGGTCAGGGAAAGCAGCCAGTTCTAAGTGGCACAAACACAGTAACTGAATGAGCATGACGGGGACTTACCTGAGCCTTGATGTGAAGATGTGTTACAATTTCTGGTCCTCTTCAGGACACTTCTTTATGTGTAGGACAGCTGCTCTGGGGGAAAGAGAATGAGACGCTAATGCTTTCTGGATACAGGCTACAGAAAACACCCTCCGAGGAACACCTGCCCCAGGCCATAGCTGAACCCAGTGAAGGGGGCACTGGATGGGAAAGACCTACAAACCTGTAGGTGTTCCCCCACCTACCAAACTGATCATCCCTACACACACACAGGAAACCCTACTCCCCAGGCCACTCCTTCCCTTCATTTGAATGGCCTGCGTTGCAAGCACTTTGGGCTCTAAAATTAGCTTCTTCTGGCTGTTCTGCGCGCTTCCTGTCATTTCATGCTAGGTTCCTGGGCCCACTGCTCCCAGCAGGAACCACACAGAGGGAGGTGAAGGCAGAGATGTGGACACACAGGTGACACAGCTGTGCTTACTTTATAGGTCCGGCACCCAAACATTACCTCTCCCAGGCACAGCTCAGACACAGGCCCCGTCTGCGCTGACTCCCAGAGCGTTACCACCCATCCCTGGCAGCATGTCAGAGGTGCAGCCCACCTCACAGCATGCCACCCCTGCAGATGGCACAGAGCAGGTACCCTCACAGAGGCCAGCTGGGTTACTCCCGCTGATGCTCACACAGCCCTGCCCCCATGATCCCATTCGGCTCACACACACCTGTGTCTGCCACGGGGTCCAGACCACATTCAATCACACACACCTGTCAGCCAAGACGCCGGCATCCCTTACAGGTACCGTTTGGAGTCAGACTGCTCCACTTCCAACCCAGCTCCCTGCTAGTGCGCCTGGGAAAGCAGGGAATGGCAGCACAACACACACACACCACACCACACCACACCACACCACACCACACCACACCCCACCACACCCTACCCTCACCCCCCAGCCACCAGGACACAGCAGGGCCCCAGGCCCAGGTTTGGTTCGGGTCTCCCGCTCCCTCCCTCATGGTCGTGCCAGCAGCACCCCGAGCTGGCTTCCTTCTGGGGGAGCAAACACTTCCCCTCGGGGCCCAGCCAACCCTATTTCCCCGAGAGGACAGGACCGGAGCCCGGCAGAGGGGAACTCCGGATTGCGCCCAGGTGGGACCAGCGAGAAGGAATCACCCTCCCGGCATGCCACGCGGCACACTCCCCATAGGTCTCTGGGAAAGGGAGTCCACAACGCCCCAGTCCGCGCGCTTTTTCCCAGCATGCAACTCCGCGCAGCCCTAACAGAGCCCCGGGGGCCTCTGGGAAACGTTCGTCTGCGGGGCATGGTGGACGCTGCCTGCCGAGTTCTCTGCTCGGGAGGCGTCTCACTGGTTCCTGAGCAGGCTGATTTCCCGTAGGCTCGGGGTGAAAGTACTTCAGAGCAGGGGGAGCTGCGAATGCCGCGAGCCCTGGTTTTTCCCCGCACGGAAACAGGATCGTGCTGAAGACGATGCCCCTAGACTCCAGTCAGGGAGCCGTCGGGGGCGTGACCCAGCGGGCGGAAGGCCCTCTCTCTCTCCCTCTCGCGGTCTTCAGAGAAGGATTGCTACAGATGATTGTCAACGATTACCGGGGAACAAGTTTGATAACCTAGGAGAGATGGGCCAATTCTTAGTCACATAGAACTTACCAAAATTGAATCAGAAATCAAATACTGGGGCCGGTGCAGTGGCCCAGCGGGTTAGGCCGCCGCCTGTAGTGCTGGCATCCCATATGGGCACCGGTTCAGTCCCAGCTGCTCTACTTCTGATCCAGCTTTCTGTATGGCCTGGGAAAGCAGTAGAAGATGGCCCAAGTGCTTGGACCCCTGCACCCGCGTGGGAGACCCGGAGGAAGCTCCTGTCTCCTGGCTTCGGATCAGCGCAGCTGCAGCTGTTGCAGCCAATTGTGGGGTGAACCAGCAGATGGATTACACTCCCCCACCCCATCCCACGCGTGCTTCTGCTTCTCCTTCTCTGTGTAATTTTTTCAAATCTTTAAAAAAATCTAGACTAATGAGCGGCATGACTGAATCAATAACAAAAAGTCTATCATCAGACCAGATAACCTCTACCAAACACTTCAAGAGAAATTAACACTAATTCTTTAATTATTTCAAAAAACGGCAGAGGATGGCATTGTTCCAAACTCATTCTATGAGTCCAGAATTACCTTGATACTAAAACCAGACAGAAGCACAACAAAGGTAGAAGGCTACAGGCCATCTCTCTTCTTCATGTGCATAGTGCAAAACGCCTCAAGAAAGTTCTAGGAAG